GCTCCCGGCCACCGCAGCCTCAAACTGCTGGGCTCCGGCGATCCTTCCGCCTCAGCCTTCCAAGTAGCTGGAACTACAGGTGTACGCTACCATGCCCGGCTGATTTTTGATTTATTGTAGAGATGAGGTCTCACCAAGTTGCCCAGGCGGGTCTCGAACCCACGGGCTCAGGCAATCCACTCACCTCAGCCTCCCAAAGGCACGGGATTACAGGCTGAGCCACCGAGCCCGGCTTGTATATATTTTAAATACTAGAGACAGGGTCTTGCTCTGTGTCCAGGTAAATCTCAAACTTTTAGCCTCAAGCAATCCTCCTGCATTAGCCTCCCAAAGTGCTGGAATTATAGGCATGAGCCATTGTACTCAGTGTAAAAAAAAAAATGGTCCAAAGAGTGTTATTTCCAGTGCTTTCAGAAACAACCAACAATGAAGAATACATTAAAAAAAAATTTCCCTAGAGCATCAAAGAGAATAAAAGACCTATTCAGGGAAAAGAGAAACCATTCTAAGCAAAGCAAAGAACCCCTCTCTGCCCTAAAGACATTTGCTGATCCTAGAAAACTTGGATTGAGGAATAAACCAAAGATAGGACAGCCTAACAGAAGACTCTCCTTTTGATGCTGGTTTCCCCAAGGACTTCATCCTCAAGCTCAAGGTGAACCAGAAGTGAACTGCCATCCACTCTCCAAGTGGGGGAAAGGTGTAAAAGAGACCCAGCCCACAGACCTTATAAATACAAGATGACTCCTCTGACAATCTGCAACCTGGACTTGTCCCCTGGGTGATCCAGAGGACCTCAGAACTGTGAGCTCAGTTTATGGTGGTCCCAGACCAATAATATACCCAAGCACCTTGAGGAGGCAAAAGCAAATCTCTAGAAGAATGAAAATGCACCAGGCCTCAAGGAATGCCAACAAATAGTTTTTTTCAAGACAATGAACCATATGTAGTAAAAGATAATCAAGCACATAAAGAAGCACCTGCCATTATTAAAAACAGAAAATTAGAGGAAGCAAGAAATGAACAAAGTCAAAGGGATTAATAAGGGATAGGATAATCGATCAAAATAAATTAGCCATGCACAGAGGCTCATGCCTGTAATCCCAGCACTTTGGGAGGCAGAGGCAAGAGGACTGCCTGAGCTCAGGGGTCCAAGACCAGCCTAAGTAACATGGCGAGACCTCGTATCTACAATAAATCATAAAATTAGCTGGGCATAGTGGTGCATGCCTGTAGTTTCAGCTACTTGAAAGGATGAGGCAGAAGAATCACCTGAGCCCAGCAGGTCAAGGCTACATTGACTGTGAGTGTGCCACTGCACTCCACCCGGGTGACAGAGTAAAACTCTGACTCAAAAAAAAAAAAAAGAAAGAAAAAAGAAGCCAGGCTCCGTGGCTCAGCCTGTAATCCTGTGCCTTGGGAGGCTGAGGTGAGTGAATTGCCTAAGCCCACGGGTTCGAGACCCACCTGGGCAACTTGGTGAGACCTCATCTCTACAATAAATCAAAAATTAGCCAGGCGTGGTAGCGCACGCCTATAGTTCCAGCGACTTGGAAGGCTGAGGCAGAAGGATGGCCGGAGCCCAGCAGGTCGAGGCTGTGGTGGCCGGGAGCGTGCTGTGGCAGGATGCTGCATATGCTCAAATATATTTCTTGTATGATGGAGTGAATAAACACAGAAACATGTAGCTGGTTCAGGATTAGCAGCTGGCCTCAAGGCAATCACCTGGAATAACTCCTACTAGTCCAGGGCAGGAAAGGCGTTGATAGCAGTTGAAGGTATTTCCTTTTGAAAGGAAGTTGTAACTTTAAAGACCTGCCAGGCTGCGGGCAGGTTTTGTTGAAGAAGGGCCAAATGGCCCAGAGACTGGCTATTTCATGGAAATGGAAAAGAGTTTTATCTAAGCTGGGCTCAGTGGCTCAGCCTGTAATCCCTGTGCCTTTGGGAGGCTGAGGTGAGTGGACTGACTGAGCCAATGGGTTCAAGAACCGCCTGGGCAGCGAGATCTCATCTCTACAATAAATCAAAAAATCAGCTGAGCGTGGTAGCATATGCCTGTAGTTCCGGCTACTTGGAAGGCTGAGGCAGAAGGATCGCTGGAGCCCAGCAGG